AGAAATGCTCATCCAAATTAACTTGAATGCTACACCGCACTTACTCTGGTAAACAGCTTTTAAATTTGAAGTTGAACGGATGTAGATATGTGTTTTGTTATTTGTGTTCCTGTTACTGGGTGGGAACGTGTTTGATAAACTGAGTGAGCGAAACACCATTAACAAACTTGTATCAAATATTGACATAAAGCAGTTGTGTTCATTCACTTGGAGCATTTTCTGTGATGCTGTGATATATATAATACAACCAGAGGTGGTAATGAGTTTCTCTGTTCTTCAGCTGTAAGCATTAGACTATTTGGTTACAAGTCTGACTGGATTGATTATCTCTGTTTTTATGACCTGTTTTTGTAACAAATCGATTCCCAGGGCTTCAGTTTTCCTTTCTTACGCCTCCTTTGTTGTGGAGCAGCCTGAACTTTAAACCTCTTCAGATAAAAGCATCCCCTGAGCACATAATGTGTCCGATCACTCCAGCGAGATCAAATAGATATTGGTCCCATCACTTTGTCTCTTTCGTCTCCCAGAACATTTTCTTTAATCTTGTTTTCTTTACATTCAATTTCTTTAATCTTGTTTTCTTTACTTTTGCTCTCAACCTTGTGCGTTTAATCTGTGAGGGTCCTCATCTTCTTTGTCAAGTTTAGTACTCGCAAGGATATTATGCTGTGCATATTCAGTGTCTCAATACTCTTCTTTGCTCTTCCTCAGGGGGGGTTGACAGTCACAGTGCTGCTTTGCTAAAAGATTTCTTTCATCCTTGTACAACTTGTCCTACAACCTTCTCACAATGAGACTGCCTTGGTTCTTAGTGAATTAACGAACAACATCCATTTCTCAGCTTTAAATAGAAAAGCTGTGAATCAGATTTTGTTCGTTAAGCACTACTTTGTTTCCTCTGCAGGTTGATATAAGCTCAGGAATATCACATCCTGTTTGTGATGTATTTTATCTCACACTCATAGGACAAACAAACCATGCAGGCAGAACAGGAGACCAGAACAGTAGCTAGGACATGGTGTCCTGGGTGGAAAGTGGTGCTTTTTCTTTTTAAAGAGGTAAAGTCATTTGCTGCTAAGAAATTGTAGTCCTCATGCTCCTCAGATGGCTCCATTTCCCAAGTAGCAAATTTGTTCTTCCAGCTTCAGTGTCTTCATGTTCTTTTAAGGTGGAAGCAACAGTACACGCCAGTCGAGAGAGGCTAAATTGTGCAGATAAACAATGATAACGGTTTTCAGTATGTAGCTGCTTTGTAGTTAGGTCCATAAGTTTTTAGACAATGACACATCGCAGTTTATTTTAATTCAAACAGCTGAAGTGCAGGATTTCAACTTGAATTCAAGGTATTTCACTGTTTAAATCTCTGCAGAAAAATGGCTGTAATTAAATTTCTTGCAGTCAGCAAAATATTTACATTCAAATGACGTGGTTTCATGGTTTGCTAACAAGAATGCCAAAATTCTCTCTGACTTTTTGAGTTGTTGTTTTGACTTGAAGATTGTGTTCATGTGAATTTTCTGATTACTCTAACAGCACATAAGTGTAGGTGTTGCCTACAGTTGGAGCTTCTCCTCTTGACATAATCGGGGCATAATTACCATCAAATCACTTTTAAACACAATGGTTGTGGCATAATCGGTGCTGCATTTGCATGTAAAACACTCGCTCAAAGACAGAGTTAAAAGCAACAGAAGGTTTCTAACCCATTTCCCTCGCACTCTGCACTGTTGCTCTCCTGAGGCACAGAGACAAGTCCTAATTTAAATTGTCAAATTTACACCAAAACACCAAAGATGGTGGTAGAAGTATCACTTCCAGAGGAAATCAAGAAACTCTATTTTAAAACAAAATTTGGGGGAAATGCCAACAAATGTGTCACACTTCAAAATAAATAAATAAATAAATGAATAATAATCAAATTTGACACCATTGATTCGATATAAAATAAGCTATAAGATAAGCTATGCTTCATTTGTCTTAAAAGTTGGAAATGACTGTTACAGTAGCCAAACTGTATAAATATATAAATAAATATAATATTTTTATATTGTTTTTTGTTGTAACTTCTGCTGCACTTTGGCCTGGTCGCTCTTTGAAAAGAGATTTTAAACTCAATTAGACTTTTACCTGGATAAATAAAGGAAAATTAATGAAATAAAATAGAATGACTCAATAAAATGCATTACTGAAAAATTGTCCCTGATGGTGGAAGCCATTGACACTGTTTCCTCCTGTTTTTTTTGTTTGTTTTGTGTTTTCCCACTAGTTTTCCATTTAGCTAGGTTTTGTGTCACATGAGGCGAAACCTGGAACCTGAAGAAGATCTGATGTGTTTAAAGTGTTCCTTCAATTTTTTGCTGTATATAATTTCAATATGAAAACCCCCCCTATAATACAAAAATAATACAAAAACAGCTTCACAGAATTAAAAGTAAAATAGCTCTGGAAGAAAATTTTTAATTTAAATAAGACTTCAAAATAACTATCCAGAAGCATTTCAAGATGACTGCTGACAAATTGAACCCTTGAGATCCATATACACTCATAGTAATCTGCAAATACAAATGATTTTTCCCAACAAATCTGCTTCATTTTAAACAGTGTTCGACTTGGCCTCAACATTCAGTTCTCAAATCAATGTCCGCTTTTATTTTGCCATAATGCACAGAATCAATTTTGCATTCAGTTTTTAACAGCCTTAGTTGCTGTTATTGAATGCTATAAAAAGGATTGTGATAATCTGGTAAAAGAAATTCTACAGATGCCCAGATCATAAGCAAAAATGCTTCTGTAATAAACACTGTGTGATTACTTTCCTTCACTTTTTAACTGCACGGTTGGCTCTCGTAAATGGAATTAATTTTGTCCTCTGAACTGGAAAGGCAAATGACTGCTCTTATCGACTAATCTGTAATGTTTTAGTTCAGCAGTATGTCATCTGACATTTCTTCTATAAAACCTGTTCTTAAAGAAGCAGGGACTGTCGACTTGTACCTGAGGGTCGTCAAATTTAATGACAGTTTATGGTTCCTGAGAAAACCGTTCTCTGCAAATCATGTTCCTCTGAGGAGCTCAATGCTTGCTTCTCACACTGCACAAGGGACTTCAATAAGTGCTCTGCCCTTGTTTCAATCATAGTGGGTGTTTTTCCTACATTTCTAAAAGCACACGTAACAGGTGGGAAGCAGTGAATTTCATACTTTTCCTCCTCTCTCTCTGCAGATGAGGTCATTGAATGACTGGCTTTTGTTCATTGTGTTATATGAACTTTGAGAAGGGTAGGGTAGTTTAACATCAATCTCCAGCTATTAGAGCACTGAATTAAATTTTCTCAGAAAAAAGCTTAAGAGGGTACAAAAAGCCATAAATTGCATTTACAGAGGTCTTAAATTTATTCCCCAGTTTGCTGGAGGGGTATCTCATTGCAGACTGTCAGGAACGGATTTTGCGCTGATTATATAGTTGTACATGAATTTGGAATTGGTCAATCCATCCATTTAAGCTATGTTATGTAAAGGTGTTAATTCATGCTTAATAATGCTTTCTTTTTTAATGTATGTTAAACTGGTTCATCCTCTAATTGAAAAGAGCCGTTTTAGCTCCCTTCCTTTTAGCCAGTTTGCTTCTGATTGGTTGCCCCTCGTAAATAGAAGTTTTAAATGGCACGTGGGTCTGTGCTGTAGACCTTATGTGAAACTCTGGCTGTATTTAAGATGACAGTTTGTCATGGTAAGAGAAAATAAGGGAAAATGATAGGTCTCCTTTGAGAACTGGTTGTGTGTGACAAATATGTAAGAGACTAAGAAATCTGGTAGGGAACAAGTCATGGCACTATAGGTGTGTAAATGAGCATAATGGTTGTCTGTCTCCATATGATGAACGATTGATCTGCTCAGGATGAATCCTGCCTCTCTTCCAGTGTTGGCACAATAGGATTCCATTTCTATGAATGTTTTTATCCCATAGGTTTGGAGCATTTGACTCCAGCACTATAGAAGTGCAACTTATTCTGTGTTTGAAAAGTGAAGTGCCTTGAATCTGCATTCTTCCTGATGACCAGTAGGGGGCGTCTCTTTTCAAAAAGATCTCTAGTTGGATGGAAATTAAAAGAAAAATGACAGTAACAGTTGAAGGCTCTTGTCTGTGAGCTTAGTAAACACTTTCTGGGTGAGTTTATGGCCTTAGTCGCTAGTTGTAGGTTAATGCAACATGGTGTTTTTGTAAATTTTGGTTTCCATTACAGTTCAAAGGGGGAGGATGCACAGGGATTTACCATGTTATCGACAAGTAGCAGTGAGCCTTGGTTTCTCAGTTTTCCCCTACCCTTGCTTATCACATCGCGTTTCAACACAACGACATGTTGCCATCAGAAATGTTCAACTTGAGGCTTCACAACTAAACTTAAGTAACCAATTCGTGATGTCATGGAAGTATCAGCCATATTTTATGTACGGTCTGTTCTCTGACTGCAGATCTGAACGTCACAGTTTGGCCAAAAAGTATAAAACTGAATCATGAGTCTCCTGGTGATTTCAAACACTGCTTTCAGTGCACAATTTTTGGACTGTTAGGCTGAACAGAATATCCTCATTATGTTGAAATGAAAATGCCCCCTGAGGCCATGGCTCATACAATGGTTCAATGCTTTCATGATGTTGCACAGGTGTTAATTAGAGCAGAGTGGTGCCAGGGTGCGTGTTGCCTTCTCTCCTCAGAGACGCTGGTTTTCTCACTCCCTCTGCTTTGCTGGGTTTAGCTGGTTAGATGAGAAATTTGAAAATGTACTTGCACCAAGCGGAAAGAGATGTGGAGTTTATACAGGGTAAGAAGACTATCATGCCTCCTTCTTTTACGCTCCTACTTTTTTTTTTTTTTTTTGGAAAAGGAGCCTAAACAGATTTGCTGGGGAGAAATTACAACCTCCTTTGAGACATCTGTGATTGAAATTCAGAGCTGTTAGACGTGTTCCAGTTTAGCTAGCACTGTTTATGTGCCCACAGAAATGGAAGCAGCTGTCTCGGCTCCAGCGAAGCCTCATCCTGTTCCTGCTGGCTCTGCTGCTCATATTGGGACTGCTCTCCTACAGCAGCATCACAGAACATTGGAGAGGTAAACACTTCCCTCTCCATGCTAAGCTAACATCACATACACAGAGACAAAAGTCTGTTATTAATTTTAATGGTCTTACTTTTTATGTAGCTAAATGGTTATTTGGATTGGGTGTTTGCCATGTTTACAGTGATTAAAAAAATTACAACTCCAGGACACAGTGATCATAGTTTATAATTAAAATATTTAGCAATAGCTCTACAATGTAGTTTACTGGGCTACCATCATGACGGCCTTCTTTTCTTATGTGTGCATGTGCTTGTGTAGGTTTGTCTGACCAGGAGGACTGGCTGGAGTTGAATGACAGAGAATTAAAGGCCATTCCTCCAGGTGTGAAGCCAGTGTTGGGTCAGGCTGCAGGTAAAGCTCCAGCTCCGGTGGGGGGACCTCATTTGCAGCTAACTGTTGTTCCAGATGCTGCAGGAGAAGCCAGAGGACCAAATATCCCCATATTGGTTAAGCCTCCAGTTAAGGTTAGAGTTGTATTTGTACTTCTTTATTTTGGAAGCATCAGTTAAAACTGCAGTAGGTAAAAATAAATAAATAAATAAAACAAACAAACAACAAAAAAACCCTGAAAAGAATATGGGGAAATTAAAAAAACAAAACAGGTCTTCATGCCTGAGGTATTCAGTGCTGACTTTCAGCTTTTGAAACTTGGCGTTTGAACCTTGCTCTGGTCTAAAAACACCTGTGGATGTCTCTTGGATATCTAGTAACACTTACCCAGCTTTAACACTTGTAATATTTTTTTTTTTTTGTAGAATTATTTTTTTTCTGTGTAATTATTGTTTATTGTGCTTACTCATTTATGACCTCTATAAGCCCTTTCTCGCTGATTTCATAATCCCAATTTTCTGTTTCAGTAAATATTTAATGCAATGTGATGTTTAATTTGAAAATTGTGGTGCTTTTTTATAGTTAAATGGACTATAAAGCAGGGTGTTCTTGTTGCTATTCTATGAGCATGCAGTGTGCTTAGTTTCTCAGATCCTTTTCTCATTCCGTATCAAAACACCAAAATGCTCCTCCTTCAAAATTAGGGTTTGGCTATATACATCTGTTGTGTATTATACAGGTCCTTCTCAAAAAATTTGCATATTGTGATAAAGTTAATTATTTTCTGTAATGTACTGATAAACATTAGACTTTCATATATTTTAGATTCATTACACACAACTGAAGTAGTTCAAGCCTTGCTCATGAAAACCCAAAATTCCTATCTCAAAAAATTAGCATATCATGAAAAGGTTCTCTAAACAAGCTATTAACCTAATCATCTGAATCAACGAATAAACACCTGCAAAAGATTCCTGAGGCTTTTAAAAACTCCCAGCCTCGTTCATTACTCAAAACCGCAATCATGGGTAAGACTGCCGACCTGACTGCTGCCCAGAAGGCCATCATTGACACCCTCAAGCAAGAGGGTAAGACACAGAAAGAAATTTCTGAACGAATAGGCTGTTCCCAGAGTGCTGTATCAAGGCACCTCTGTGGAAAGGAAAAAGTGTGGCAGAAAACGCTGCACAACTAGAAGAGGTGACCGGACCCTGAGGAAGATTGTGGAGAAGGACCGATTCCAGACCTTGGGGGACCTGCGGAAGCAGTGGACTGAGTCTGGAGTAGAAACATCCAGAGCCACCGTGTACAGGCGTGTGCAGGAAATGGGCTACAGGTGCCGCATTCCCCAGGTCAACCCACTTTTGAACCAGAAACAGCGGCAAAAGCGCCTGACCTGGGCTACAGAGAAGCAGCACTGGACTGTTGCTCAGTGGTCCAAAGTACTTTTTTCAGATGAAAGCAACTTTTGCATGTCATTCGGAAATCAAGGTGCCAGAGTCTGGAGGAAGACTGGGGAGAGGGAAATGCCAAAATGCCTGAAGTCCAGTGTCAAGTACCCACAGTCAGTGATGGTCTGGGGTGCCATGTCAGCTGCTGGTGTTGGTCACTGTTTTATCAAGGGCAGGGTCAATGCAGCTAGCTATCAGGAGATTTTGGAGCACTTCATGCTTCCATCTGCTGAAAAGCTTTATGGAGATGAAGATTTCATTTTTCAGCACGACCTGGCACCTGCTCACAGTGCCAAAACCACTGGTAAATGGTTTACTGACCATGGTATTACTGTGCTCAATTGGCCTGCCAACTCTCCTGACCTGAACCCCATTGAGAATCTGTGGGATATTGTGAAGAGAAAGTTAAGAGACACAAGACCCAATACTGTGGATGAGCTTAAGGCCGCTATCGAAGCATCCTGGGCCTCCATAACACCTCAGCAGTGCCACAGGCTGATTGCCTCCATGCCACGCCGCATTGAAGCAGTCATTTTCTGCAAAAGGATTCCCAAGTACCGATATATGCACAGTGCACAGATATATGCACAGTTATGTTCAGTTATGTTCAGTTATGCACTCAATACTTGGTATTGAGTGCATAACTGAACATAATTATTTGAAGGTTGAATTTTTTTTGTATTAAAAACACTTTTCTTTTATTGGTTGGATGAAATATGCTAATTTTTTGAGATAGGAATTTTGGGTTTTCATGAGCTGTATGCCAAAATCATCAATATTAAAACAATAAAAGGCTTGAACTACTTCAGTTGTGTGTAATGAATCTAAAATATACGAAAGTCTAATGTTTATCAGTACATTACAGAAAATAATGAACTTTATCACAATATGCAAATTTTTTGAGAAGGACCTGTACAACCTGTGACCCACATCAGACCTTTTCCATGATATTTTTATATTTTCCTTTGTGTTTTTAGCTCTAGCAATGTGTGTTTTCACAGAAAAAGATATTTGCAAACAAAAGAGGTCCACCAAGCCTACAGAGAGATGCAAATGTTTCAGACACGGTCGGCAGGGAGAAGCAAGAGCAGGTGGTTCAAGAGGACGAAGGTGAAGAGGAGGACAAACAAAAGAAGATTGTCAGGTGATAAAAGATCGTAGTCAAACATTTTTTTGCTGGATGGAGGCAGTGACACATGCTTCAGTAGATATATCAGAGAGATCGATATAAATAATTCAGAAATACGATGTTTACTTTTAATACACAGCTGGAGAGGAGCAATGATTGAAGCTGACCAGGCTACAGAACCTCCACCCTCAGCCAATGAGAAAGAGGCAGCAGTGCCCCCAGCACCTGCCAACCCAGCTGGCACTGTCCCACTAGAAGGTCAGCACTGCTTGCTGTAATTCTAAGCAAACCTTGCTTGCAGGGTGCACTGAGAAGGTTTAAAAATTTCCCATCAAAAAGATTCTTTAAAATAGCTTTGGCCAGTTCTACTATATGCTCTTTATAGCTCAGCATTTCTTTTTGACTTAAAGTTGAACGTTTCCAACTCACACCATGAAGACCTGCTGTGCTCAAAGCATCAACACATGACACAGAATTTCTACTTCATTTCTACTCTTTCTACTCCAAATAATAAGAATAAGAAGTATGCTGTTCAAAGAGCTTCCAGCAGGAGACGCAGATGTAAGTTTACACTTTAATTATTCATTGTTATTCCTTTGCTTGTAGTTTCACCTGAAACTAGAGTGCGACTGGAGGCAGTGTGCGATGCCTTCAGACATGCTTGGAAAGGCTACAAGGACTACGCCTGGGGTCACGATGAACTCAAGCCCATCTCCAAATCTTTTGGTGAATGGTTTGGACTGGGTCTGACGCTGATTGATGCTTTGGACACCATGTGGATTATGGGCCTAAAAGAAGGTATTATTTATATTATTACTTGTTTTAGGTTTTTTTGTTGTTTGTTTGTTTGTTTGTTTGTTTGTTTGTTTGTTTTGGCTTTTGGGTTTGACATTTTTTGGGGGGCTTGACATCATTGAAATTGTCTCTAAACTGATACCAAACGCGATATCCGTGTAGGATATTGCACAAAATTATTGTTATTTGTTGTTTATGCTAAAACCATGAAATTGTGCTTATACTTGAATATATGACCCCCCCCCC